TCGGAGCGTCTGTGGGATCAAGTGTCAGACGAGCGATGCAACATGAGCGCAGGTTTCGCCATGGCGGCTCTCCACAACCAACAACTGTGTCTGAAGGTGATCTTTTCTGAACAAGTCAACTTTACCACGGCGAGAGCGAGATGTGAGGCTTTCGACAATGGTCGTCTTTTCGTCTCCGACACAGTAGACAAGTTGAATCTTCTCCGTCAGATTCACGACGCTGTTATGAATGGTAGCAGGTTTAATTTGTACGTGGGTATGAACGACATTGTCACAGAGGATGAATTCTACTGGGAAGATGGGAGGCTGGTCACCGAGGAAGAGAAGAAGCTGTTGTTTCAACCAGGCCAGCCGGACAATTATCGGGGAAAAGAAGACTGCGTGATGTTTTTGTCACACGTTCACAAACTAAATGACTGTGGATGTAGTCTCAGGCTCGGGTATGTTTGTGAACAACATTCTGAGGTGAGCGATTGACAAGTTCGTAAGCTCTGGAAGAAAATATTCCTACAAAATCCATGAGAGGAAATAAAAGAAAGCCGATGACCCAGAAATGAGTAACGCAAATATTGAGACGAACAAAGCCAGAAGTTGGAACAGTCACCACCTGGACTGAAGAAAGCGAAGACCAGCTGAGAGGATGTTTTGACTGTACCAAATGGAATGTTTTTATTAATGCATGTTGTGATATCAATGATTTATGTGCAACAGTCACAAACTATGTTACATTTTGTGTAGATATAGTGGCCCTTAAAAACAAATTACCATCTTCCCTATCTTTAAACCATGGATAAATTCTGGAATCAAAGACATAATCCATAAAAAGAAAAAGGCTTTTAAAAACTATGCCAAAACAGAATTAAAATTCATAGACAAAGTTATTAAGAAAGTAATCTGGGTTGAAAAACAAAAATATAAAAAAAACTGGAAGATATGTTTCGATCAAATAACTCTCGAGAGACATGGACTGGGCTTAAGACCATAGTGGGCTACAAAAATAAACCAACAAACATATGTGTTGACAACGAAGAGGACTATGCAAATACACCTAATGCTTTTTTCTCTCGTTTTTGACAAAGGCAGTCCGTGTGACCTGCCATGTGTAAACACCAACACAAATGAAAATAATGTTGTTGTTGTTGTTGTTGTTGAAGAACGTAAGGTTAGATGTGTGTTTGGACGTGTGGATGTGTGTATATGTATGTTGTTGTTGTTGAAGAACGTGAGGTTAGATGTGTGTTTGGACGTGTGGATGTGTGTATATGTATGTTGTTGTTGTTGTTGAAGAACGTGAGGTTAGATGTGTGTTTGGACGTGTGGATGTGTGTATATGTATGTTGTTGCTGTTGAAGAACGTGAGGTTAGATGTGTGTTTGGACGTGTGAATGTGAGAAAGGCGTGTGGTCCAGACGGTGTGCAGCCTAAAATTCAAAACATGTGTTCAGCAAAACTTTTATTTACACCTATATTATCAACCAGTTGTTGTTGACACTGGCTATTTCCACAAATTGGAAATGTTCTGAAATTGTCCCCCTTCCAAAGAAAGAAAAAATTGCGGAAATGAATGACCTAAGACCAATAGCCTTAACATCGGTAGTTATAAAATGTCTAGAAAAAATTGTGCTAAAAAGACTACGAACATACATAGAACCCATCCAGGACCCTCTACAATTCCCATATCGTCACGGGAGAAATGTGGAAGACGCCATTCTACTATTTCTTGACAACATCTATAGACACTTAAAAACATACTGTAGGATCCTGTTTGTTGATTTTTCGTCAGCTTTTAATACTATCCAGCCTGCTATCCTTTCAAAGAAGTGAGAAAACACAGGTGTTAACGTCAATTTAATATCATGGATAGCCAATTTTTTTACCAACCGTACCCAGTATGTAAAATTAAAACATTCTTCATCGACATACATCACAACAAATACAGGGGCCCCTCAAGGATGTGTTTTGTCACCAGTTTTATTCACACTATACAAGAACGATTGCCAAATAAACAACAGTAACATCAAGTTGATAAAATTTGCAGATGATTCAACCATATTTGGACTAATTCAGGCTGACCATAACGAAACCGCTTACCGGGATTTTGTACTTAACTTTTCTGACTTGCTTGAAAATCATCAGCTGCTTTTAAATTTGAAAAAAACAAAAGAACTTGTTGATTTTAGAATAAAGAAACTGCCCTTGCAGCTACTCGAAATTAAATGTGAAAACATGGAGCAAGTGTCAGACTAGAAGTGTTTGGGTGTTACAATAGACAACAAACTCAACTGGCGTGTCCACACTTCTCTCCTGCATAAAAAGTGAACAAAAGACTATTTTTTCTCAGGAAGCTAAAGTATTTTAAAGTTGATAAATTCTCGATGTCCATATTCTACCATTCAACCGTAGAAAGTATGATCAATTTTTGTATAACAGCATGGGCCGGGAACCCAAGACAACAAGAAAAAGAAAAATTAAATCGACTAATACGGAAAGCATGTAAAATTTCAACATCTTCATTCCCCTCCTTGGATGAAATGTACATAACAGCTTGTACTAAAAAAATTTGTTCCATCTTTTTAGACAACAAACATCCCTTATTCCCTCAAATAAAGACATCAGTCAGAAGTAAAAGACCTAGGCTTCTGATCTATATTAAAGAAAGATATAGAAGGTCATTTTTACCATCATCCATCAACATGCTTCCGTCTTAAGCATCTAGTATAAGTATACTTACGACCTTAGAGCATGCATCAGAATAATATTGAGTGTGCATCTAGCTTAAGATTATTATTGTTTATATTGCTGCTCATTTATATTATGCATGTGATTGTAAGCCTACGTGTGTATGCACACAACACACACACACACACTCACACACACACACACACACACACACAT